CGTCAGAAAAATTTAAATGCGAAAAAATGCGGTGATTAACTCAGGGGGGCTTCATTGAAACTCCAACGATAATTCACGGCTTAAGAACCTCGCCAAGCTATTTTGCTCTTCCCAACTAAACCAGTCATGAATGATAGCAGTGCTTGGGTGTATGTGTTAATCTATTCTGGCTGTCTGCAAATGAGAGCGGTCCCAGGAAATAAACCATCCATTGAGCAGAATTTGTTGTTCGGATGTTTAAATGCAAGCTAATATGCAACTAATATGCCTATGAGCTACACGTCATTTCTCAGCTGTATTCAATATGTCATAGAATGCACCAATATGAAGTTCTAATTTCCTGTTGAAAGGCAGGTAGCGGCACATTTTCAGAGCATCAGAATAGTCTAAGAGCAACTGTTATACTATTTCAAGGACACCATATGGTCAAATAATCTATGGACAAACAGCGTGATATGTGGTGGAGTGACTAACATGTTTTTCTAATTTTATGAACAATGTTTTTGTTTTGTGTTTGTTTTTCAAGCCTGCTTAAGGTGGGTGAACGTCCGAGTCGTGGCCCATGAAACAGTCAGCCCCAAACCTGGAGATGCAGGCGCCGCCGTTTAAAGCAGAGCCACAGCTGCAAAATGCAAGCAGTAGCCATTATTGTATGGGAGCGGCAGGGAGGATGTCGCGCTCCTGCCGGCCCCGCAAAGAGGCTTCCAACTCTGCACTTTTGGCATAAATTTTTATCCTCTATGATCTGTATCCTGAGTGAATGTATAATAAAGAAGGTTTCGGGATTTGATAGAGTGCCCATATTCTGAGAAAGCTATGAGGAGGCCTAAATGCCGGCAATGGATAGGGGGCTAGCGGTGCAGCCACCGCGCGCTGTCACCTTGACGCTCCAGCTATTTTTAGATGTCAAAAGAAGCTTGCTTGATTTGGATTTGCACGCCAGTGATAGAGTGACCATACCCCTCAGAGGCCAATTGCTACCATCAATAGAATCGGCCTCTGAGGCCTTCTGTCGCTCAGAAGCGTCAGGCCTGAGGTGGACTAACGCGTTCTGGAACATTTTTGTTGAGCCGTTTTGCCAAAGTGATAGCACATAGATCAGCTAAGCTGCATTGCGCATTGGTGATAACTCGTCGATCCTTTGCATATTTTGCGAGGTCAAGTCCGCCCACAAATGGGTTTGGCGATTTACAGGCTGTTTGCAAATATTTCAAATCACTATTCACAAGACGGCCAGATTTGATAACACGGGGATGGGAGAGGAGGAGCCTGAGCTGCTGTGGGAGTTCGTTATTGGCCAGCATATCAGCAACCTTTTTGAGAAAATAATGAGACAACAATTAGAATAGAGGAGACATGATATAATACCTGAAGAATATAAATACGGCTTTTATATGCAATTTGGATGATGGCTGTTCTTCCTCGACGCGTGACTTTTCCTTGTGGTGAAACCTCAACGTTCCATTCTGAATCAAATCCTATTATTATTGACCCTTCGTCTTCAGGAATATCATCAAGAATGGTGCGCATTGCATCGTTAATCGCCTCCGAAGTATTTTTGATGAGGATTGGGACACCAGAAGGTACAACGAGCTCCTCCAAATGCCCATATTTTTCAACAGGCGTCACACCTTCACGAAGGGAAGGGAAACAGTCTTCAAGAAACTTCTTATCAGAAATATTGTCGGCGTAAATGAGAGATGGCTGCGGATGGCCGTAGAGATCAAGCGAGTCATGCACATTTCGTAGAGCCAACTCATATTGAGAGTGGGACTTGGTCGCAACAAAATTACAGGCGCGAATTTCATTCTTTTCGTTTGTGAGACTTAGTATCGCAGTAAAGGGTTGTTCACCCCCAACCCTCATCGTTTGTTTCGCAATCTGAGGACGAAAAATGAATTTGAACTCATAAATAATTTTAATTCAAATACCTTATGACTGTGATCAATGGCGCAGATATTAGCACTGAGCATCGCCGTGTGTTGATTGATTTCAGGACGGTGTTCATCAATGAAATCATCATAGAGGTCACGTAATAGAGCTGCTGATGGTGTATAAAGATGTGGGCCAAGCGGGCCAAGATCATCGAATCGCGGAAATGCTTCATACTTTAACTGAAACCAGTCATCCAATGTGCGACTAGCTACCTGCTCGAGGTACTGGAGTTCGAGCATTTCGTACCGTAAGATGTGTTGCATGCGAATAGTATCTGAAAACTGTTTTGAACCCAGTCCGTAATTAAAGCATGACCGCATCCATGAAAAAAGACTCGTTGACACGCCGCTTCGATGGCTCAAGCGCGCCGGAAACTCCAAAGCAAGGGAAGGGGGGAGAACGGCCAGAATACGCTGGTCCCAGCTGCGAAAGGTGACCGTTGCCTTTTTAGACTTGGGGTGGATACATTTTTGGCATTGATATCGGTAGCCGATGATCCAGAAGGTGTGATCAAAATCGACACATCGCCGAGGTTGAGAGATGACCTGATGCCGCTGGAGGACTGTGTGGCAATTCGGGCAGGGTATCCCTCTGGGGCATAGTGCATCGGGGTCCCACAAAAAGAACCGAGGGTCGAATAGATCCTGAGGAGTTGTCCTCGTCGAAGATGGATGTAAGAAGAAAAAGGTCGATGGGTGGGGGAACCAGAATGTCTTGTGGTGGGAATACAATGGCGGAAGGCCATTGGCATCACGGTGTGGAGCACTCGACTCAGCAACTCGTGCCTTGAAAGGCTCGAGCAACCATTTTGGAAGAGGTCGGCGCGTTGACTTCACCCTCGGTGCGTTGTTCCCCTCCTGTTCCACACCCTCCTCATCGTCTGCCTCGTCTTCCTCGTCAGGAACCTCATCCTCTTCACCTAACCCATCACCCACACCGTCTTCATCGCCATCACCACCATCGGAATCCTTTTCAGCAGTTTCAATAAGCTGCTGAGGGTCCTCATCCGGGATTATACACTGCGTCAGTGTCTCTGGACTCGGTGCCACCACAATGCGTGGTACAGGACCTGGCCGTTGCCCTATCGAAGCAGACGGTGTACGCTCGGGGATGTGTGAGTGGATGCGTGAGTTATGGTGGCCTTGCGGAGGGGTTGCAGTGTCGGAGTGGCTTTCATTGGCAGATGGCGTGGTGCTCGAGACGCTCGGGGGGAGTGCAAGTGAGGACCATGTTGCTGGAGGTAGTGGGGAGCCATCGGTTGGTGTTTTCTGTTTGAATGGCCCTGCCGTAACAACCTGGAGTGCAAAACTTTGGTCAGATAGGTAAAGATAAATGAAAGGCATTGAAATACGCACTAGGGGTCCACAGTGCTTGAATGAAACACCCAAATGTCGTGCCTTTCGAGGACGACCAACAGGTCTTTTTGTCTTGGGAGGAGATTCCTCCGCTGTTGTTCGCGCTTTCTGCAAGTACCCTGTTCCCGGGGGGCGGCCCAGTCATCGAGGGCGCGATTCGCGTTCGACGGTGCTGACGCTGCCAACTGGGCGCCCGCGTTTACGCACGGCGGATGTGGCTGCACAAGGGATTGAGGTGGGAGAATCTAGATTGGTATTTACTAAATTAGTACGGACAACTTTGACGAGCTGGTTTGCTCACCTGCTCTAGTGATGTTCCCTCTGTCAGGAGAGCCGTCAATTCTCCCATGTCCGTGTGGAGAAGAATTCACCCTGGGGGATAAAATAGGTCAGTATGGTCCCACGAGTGTCGGTTACTCAACTGAACCAAAACTCAAACTCACCGTGTGGTCGATGTTTCTCCCATCATGGGGCTAAATACCTTGTCGTCGTTCCGAGTTCGGTTGTAGCTCTGTTGGGCTTTAGAATTTTATTGAGCAAGGGAGGTCGAAATACAGCGAGCGTTATTACATAATATTACTGATGTAATATTCAGTATCCGGTATCCGGTATCTGCCACAGACACCAGAGACCAGCCCAAATTTCATCACCTACGATCGGCTTTCTCCGAACAACGAGCCTCGATCACTGGTCGATCAAGAACTGAGTGAACGAGATGTAAACTGTACCAGAGTAATGCAGTACGCGGGAATGGGCTTGTATTTGAGAGCCAAAATTTTGCACAGGTGCACCTTTTGGTTCACAAAAGTATCTCAGCATTGTAGAAAAGTTGAAACAGCGCGAGTACGTCAAACCGTGCCTGATCCAGATTCATACATGTAAACCTGATCTGGAAGGATCTGGACTTAGGGCAAAAATGGAACGCGTCGCCAATCATCCCAAAATAGATGGACTTGTTTTACAAGGGCCAAGGTAAGTACATCCCGTCAGAATGCAATCACTCCTTTAATTTACCTTCCGAAATCATGATCCAGATTCCAGGTGCCTGCAAGAACACAGAATCTAGCATTCGACGTACCGTTCGCAGTGAGGTGAGGTTGTAAATCCGCCCCTTGCTGATAATACTGTCTGGTTCTGAACCGATGCAAATTACAGGCTATGCGATACTAAGGATAACGTCACCAGTCGTTGGGCACACTGGCATAACTCGATCTTGAAAATGCTGCTTATGTCCGTCTTTTATAACAAGGATCGAGGCCTCAACGTTCAACTCACATTCCCTGCTCTCGAGTACGCCCACAGTATCACTGAACCAACTGCCAACTACCATTTCTAGCCATTTCTCTTGCCTGGAGATGAAACTTGAAAGCGCTTACTTACGTCAAGGTGCCTGAGTCCTTTCTCACCTTTGGCATTTCCTTGGCATTTTGATCTTGGAATTCTGCCACAATGTGGCCGTCCTCCTCGGACTACCCAAGGATTAGAAGAGCCCCTCATTTCAACCATTAGTGAGGGAGGAAGCCCAACGCATGGAGGGAGGTGCAGTCATCGTGAACGTTGCAAGTCAGTTCCGAATACATTGGTCTAATTTGTGACTGACAGCATGTTTCTCGTTTATCGAACCTAGACTAGGTACAAGCGCCAAGGGCGCAGGAACTTTTTACATAAATGATAAAACCAGCTTCAACAGAACTTTTGGTTGACTCGTTTTCTATCTCCTCCGCCCCGGCGCTGACTTTGCTCTCTCGTCTGACGATGCTCTACTCATGCGGTCGCCGCGCGCTGCAGTTGGCAGTATGGGGCTTGTCGAGCATTGTCTTTGTGCAGAGTGTGATTACGCCCTTCATGGCACAGGCCTGTCCTTGTATTTCAACAAAGCGAACGCCATACTCACTCATCCCTCTAGTCTTTCTTTTTTGATTGGAACCCTGCTGGCCAAGCATACCCAATCCCCGTTACCGGTCAGATTATCTCTCTACCACCTTCTCGACGCTATATTCATATTGCATGCTAGTTCAATGCGGGAACATACACATCGTGTGGGGCCGGGGTACTGCAACGGGGTTCGTCCTCTTGTTCACATCTATTCTCATATCCAACTAATGCCGGCTTATTGTCTCACAGGCCCAACCCTGTGGGACCGTATTACCTCCAGGTTTATACATCGTCAGTGAACGGACTCGTACCGCCTGATGTTTTTTGCTTACTACGTGGCAATTCTAGGATATATCAAGTCCCGATCATCATTCCTGTCGGCGACGTTCTGATCTATGTAAGTCTCCATCAACCAACAACGTTTGCACACGATATGAAATAATTCTCTAGGATTGGGCCGTTCCCTTTCCGCCAGGCACTCTTGTAGGCTCGCTCCTTTTCCCTCTTGTTTAGTATTTGATTTATTTTCTGGATGCGTAGTATCAGATATGCATGGTGTGTCTATTTCCCAAGTTCTCGCGCCCTCAGTGTTCTAAGTAAACCCGCCAGTTTGACAAATACGGAAACACCGGAGGATGTCAAGCTACGTACGCAGTCATAGCTAATACGACTGGAACGCCCTCGTGTGCCAATGTCACGCTCCCCCACACTCTTTCTATTGACGCTCAAGTAGACAATGGTCCGATATCGCAGTACGGCTGGGTTGATCAAGTTAGTTCCCATTCCTCAAATTCTCAACGTTCTCCGCTCTAACACTCAGCCAAGTGCACAGATATTTCCATTACTCCGAAAAATGGGACTCCGCCGTATACAGTCACCGTAAGTTTGCGTATTCAGCTTGATCTCCGATTCATCAACTAGCGAGATTTCCTCAGATTGCTCCCTCTCTCCATCCCCCGTCCAACATCACCATTGCCCAAGTAAATATAAGCCTCAACTGGACTGTTAATTTATCATGGTCGTCGCCGTTCTTTTTGAGCGTCGTTGATTCGGCCGGCAACATGTGGGCCAATGGACTCCTGCATAGCGGCCAAGGAAAGACCTCTAGTTGTCTTGCTGGCAACGCTACCATGAACGCGTGAGTGATAATGCGACCCCCCCACTTGATGTTCTGAAGCTGGATCTACAGTTCCGGACTGAAACCAGTCGTTGTTATAGGTTCCGGTATTGGCGGTTTGGCTCTTGGATTGTTCGTTGGAATATTGTTGACCGCCCTGATTGTCAAGAAGAAGTACAAGAAGGGTGACAACCCCGTGTATCTGGCTGCGTCCCCCCCAGCTTCACCTCCTTTTTCGTCCTTCGGTCCCGCAACCACCCCCGGACTCACTTCCAACTATACCCCTGTACCCTCATCACCCTTCGGCGTTTTGCACAATTCCATGGGAAGCAGTAACCAATCGTCTTTCGGCCAACCCGTCAGTCAATTAGGTCGCTCGTCGCCATACGCTGCTGATCCCTTCACGACTGGAGAACATGGTCGCCTCAACCCCGAACCTGCCTCTTTTCGTCGTCCATTATCCAGCAGCGGTGCCTACGCCGGTGGGCCCGCTGCGCCGCAAAACCAGGTTTACGTTGTCCACAATGATAGCCAATCGCCACCCGTTACGATCTACCACGAAGATGGTGCGCAAATTGTGGAGCTACCACCCAGGTACGCTGCGGGAGCTTCCACTAGCCGTGGGGACGGAGCCGACGCGCTCAGCGACGTTCGTAGTTTCAACGACGGTGGAAGTGATGGAGGACGAACGGCCACCACGGACGCCACGACACTTCTTCAGGAGCAGAGTAGGGCATACTACATGACCAAAAGGCCAGCAAATGGGATTTATTCGGGCGGTCCGAATCGTTAGTTCACCTGTAATTTCCACACATTAGTATAGTTTGTAAAGCTCCATAATATCTGCCCTCGCAACATCATATATACCCTCTATGATTTGTCAAGTTTCAGTGTCTTCGACGAGAACACAGATGGCGAAAAAGAGAAGATAAAGAAAGGCAAATATGTAACAAACAAACCAAAAACAAACGTCAGTAAATTGTCAACGTTGCAACAACTATCCATCGAGATTTCCCTCACTGAGTCACGTCGATTGATTGGCCAATTGTTCGCAAAGTTTTGTGCAATTTCAAGTGCAACCTGCGGGGGGATTTTACATGGCTTGTGCCAAAGCGCAATCCGATTCCGACGGAGCTAAGGTTTGACTGACCTAAAACGCCCGAATCACCTTGTCTCTTGGCAGGACCGGGGATCCCTGGTTTAAGTAACTTCAATAAGTGAGTGGGACTTACTTGGCGTTATCTGCACCAAATCTGCACTATACACTAGACATGGGAATCCGGAGCGTCGTCCGTACTTATCAGCTGAGCTTAAGGGGTCGAGGCAGGTACCGCGCTGAAGTAGTGAAGCTCGGCTGGCTTGGCAAACGAAGGCGCTCCTTACCTCCCAGGTCCCCACTCGTTGCCAATCCATTCGTTCTTCTCGCCTCAGCCTCATCACGACTAATGACCATTTACGCATACGGCCGGCGCTGGGCGAAGGTAGTGTTCTGGGTATTGACAAGCGTTGTCCTGGGGCAGGGTGTGATCACACCTCTCATACCGCTGGTGCGTTATCGAACTTATAGTAGGGGGGCACCAGGTGTTCTGACTGCTCAATAGTCCTTCTTGTTTGATTGGAATCCACCTGGCCAACCGTACCCAGTCCCAGTCACAGGTCTGCCCTCGTCCTTGTGACGATTTCGCCGGCGTTCGCTCAATCCTTCTACGCATTCTTAGCTCAATGCGAGAAGATCCACATTGTTTGGGGGCGAGGTGCTGCCACAGGGTTTGTTTCTTCTCTCCGGTTGCTTACAATCACTGCATATCTTCTCAGTCCAGATCCTATTGGTCCTTATTACCTCCAAGTCTACACATCGTCAGTGAATGAGCAGTCGCCTTGTATCACCTTCCTCACTTCACAATTCCAGGCTTTACCTCGCTCCGATCATCATTCCCGTCGGTGACGTTCTAACCTACGTAGGTTTCTATCGGGCAATGATGAATTTTCCTGAACGATGACTTGTGTTAGGACTGGGCTGTTCCTTTTCCCCCCGGGACTTTGGTAAGCGCTTTCAATCTGCACTTTGAAGCTCGATATAGGACTGACCTCTGGGGTGACATAGTATGAAATATGCATGGTGGGTAAACTCCAATATCGACTGTCGTCTACCGATTTATAAACCTTGAATAGTTTGATAAAAACGGGCACACGGGCGGGTGTCAAGCAGCATATACAGTTACTTCCCCCACTACTGAACCTACCTGTGCAAACGTTACCTTGCCACCCTTTCTTTCTGTCGATGCCCAAGTCAATAACGGCCCAATGTCGAGGTATGGATGGATTGAACAAGTTGGTTTTAGTCCATCATATCCGTAATCCCTAATTGCTGATTCCCCTGTCCAAGTGTTCTGATATTTCTGTTACCCCCAAGAACGGAACTCCCCCGTACACTCTTACGGTATGCTCTCGACTTCCTTTACATCGTTCGCATCAACACATAACTCGTCATATTGTGCAGGTTGCTCCTTCCCTCCATCCTCCATACAACATTACGAGTTCTGATATGAAGAGCATCAATTGGACGGTTACACTGTCATGGGCGTCGCCGTTTTTTATAAGTGTCGTCGATTCCGCCGGTAACATGTGGGCCAATGGACTGTTACATAGCGGCTCTGGTTCTAACACCGCCTGTCTTTCTGGTGGCACAGCTCAAGCGATGAGGTGAGTGGGCCGATCTTCTTCACTATATCTCTCAGTCTCACAATCAATAAATAGCCCCCATATGGTCAAACCGGTTATCGCCATTGGTGCGGGTGCTGGTGGACTAGGCCTTGGGCTTCTTATACTGGTCGTCGTATTATTCTGCCAGCGGCACCGCCGTCATCTCAAGAAAAGATATGTGGATCGCGATCCTCCCACTACCCCAGGAGCCTTGTCAACGCAGCAAACGCCAGCGGCTTCGAGGAATCTTAGGAACAATTTGCTGGGAACTACCAACCGATTACCGACTTACAACATCGAGCCCTTCATAATGCCTGGGGAAGAGGAGCCTCTCAGCCGTGAATCGGGTTCACCCCTTCCCAGCGCGACTGGTCGTACCCTATCCTCTGACAACTCCTTTGGTGCGCAAAACCAAATCTACGTCGTTCACCATGATAGCCAAGCCCCGCCTGTGACTATCTATCACGAGGATGGTACGCGCGTCGTCGAGTTGCCGCCGAGGTACCCTGCTAGCGGTTCCGGTCGGAGCGAAGGGGCGAATGAGACGCGGGCAGGGAGACGCAGTACGAGTGATAGCAAGAGCGATGGGGAACGGGCGGACGTAACCGCAACCGCAACTCAGAGAATTCTTAGGGAACACCGAAGGCCAAACGTCTCCAAAAAGTCTCTTGGGGGGGAGGTTGATTGAATAGCCCAACGAGTTGAAGAGCTTGATATCGACTTACCATTTACTTCAGGAAAGCGCGTTTGTTAGGTAACGGCGGCTATAATTTGGTGCATGCACTACGGATATCGGAGTCATTGGGGGTTATTTTTTTTCGACTGATACCAAGCGCTGAGCCCCAATGAATATTCTTTGGCTGAAATCAAGGACTCATTCTCTCTCATAGCTCATTCTATGCGAACTTTGTCCTTATAAGTTGCGTATAAGTGATGGTAGACTCTCTCCTCAGTGCTCACAGCTCTCCTTTTGGCCCAAGTGATTCGCATGCGCTACAACCGACGACCGTCACCTTGGAAATGAAGGAACAGTTACTGCGTACTCTACGAAGCCAGAACCTCACTTCTTCTAGGCCTTGGAGCACTGTTGGTAGTGTTTATGCGACATGCCCTTCGTATCTTGGTTGAATTTATATGTGTGATACATATATACGTTTACACTACTTACTCTACACCCCAAGCTACACCCGCGCTAGCATTCGATATATACCGTGGTCAACTTCGGCGTCCCATAACCACCGTGATGAGTACTGAATTTAAGCCCTGTATGCAATACTCCACTCAAGCGCACGCTCCCCGTACTAAAAATGATCCAAACGCTCTAGGTTCGGCTTCGTATATGCTACCTTTTTTCCATACAGTGGGAATACACAAGAGATGCAAAAGAGCACTAGTTGTCCCTCTACGTATGGCCAACTTGGGGATTGAACCCAAGACTTTGGACCAATACCTGGGATATTCTACCTAGTGCTACCGACCTTGTTTCTACCGAGCCGTCCTGACCCCATTTCCATGGCCTTCAGTTTTATCATCACCCGCCCATAGTGGCTTGCTTATATTTATGCCCATACCTTTTGCTTGATGCACCCCTTCCGCGCTGGAGCTATGTATACGTACGCGGAACTTCTCGACTTCCACATCCCACTTCTTAGCGACACCTCTGGGTAGTGTGTTACGCCAGAATTACTCTTACTTGTTCATGAGGATAGACAGACATCTATTGTATAGCAGAATATCACCGCCCTTCTCTCCCGGCCCATTGTCTGAATGCCTGAGCGGCCAGACAAGCGGTGGTTCCCACAAGAACTGGCAGGCTTCACTTACGAACTTGCAGTACAATGAGCACCGATGGGGGCACTCACCAAAGATTTGTAAGACTCATGATGTCGTTCACTATGGCATCAATAAGAGATCTATACACCCGCAAGGTGGGTAGGATCTGGGAACATGAACGTACTTCCGACCCCGTCCGACCCTCAAAAAGATGGACCAGAAAAGACTGTAAGTTGAGCTGCCAGTGTATACTTCAATTTTACGAAAAGGGCTGCTAGATAAAATGAGCATGATGTATCTCGATTACAGAATCATGAAAGGTCACGACAACATATCCATACATAGTGTTCAAATTTCCCTGATATTCATGCTTCCCGGGCCCGAAGTTGTTGCTTCGAACTTTCGAAGCTACCGACGAAGTTCAATTCCGACGGAAGTGTGCAGAGCAAAGTAAGTATTCCCGAAATTGAGCTCACATTCTGAGAATTGAGAACTGTGCTTCGTCTCTACTCAATCCTCCTGAAAATTCAGGTAGAGGTTGGGTGAGGTTTGGTAGAGGTTTGGTAGAGGTATGTACTTGTGCGGTTTGGAGGTGTTTGCAGTTGCGTCAAATACTGATGTAAATTGTCAACAACTATCCATCGATTCGTCCCTAGGTCTACTGAGTCACGTCGATGGACTGGCCATTTGGTCGCAAAAATTTGTGCAATTCGGGTGCAAACTGCGGGACGATTTTACATGGCTTGTGCCAAAGCCCAATCCGATTCCGACGGAGCTAAGGTTTGACTGAACTAAAACGCCCGAACCAAGTTCGCGAAAGGTCCTCTTTCTCTTGGCAGGTCCAGGGAACCTTGGTTTAACTTCAATAAGTGAGTGGGGCTCACTTGGCGTTAAACACTCTCATACACCTTCAAACATTAGACATGGGAATCCGGAGCTTCGTCCAAGCTTCGTCCGTATCAGCTGAGCACAAGGGGTTGAGGCAGCGGCCGCGAGGCATAGTGAACACTGAAGCTCGGTTTGCTTGGCAAACGAAGGTCCTTTCAATACCACTCTTTTCCAATCCTTTCGTTCTTCTCCCCTCAGCCTCATCGCGACTAATGGCCATTTACGCATACGGCCGGCGCTGGGTGAAGGTAGTGTTCTGGGTATTGACAAGCGTTGTCCTGGGGCAGGGTGTGATCACACCTAACATACCGCTGGTGCGTTATCGAATTTATAGTAGGGGGACACCGGGTTATCTGACTGCTCAATAGTCCTTCTTTTTTGATTGGAATCCACCTGGCCAACGGTACCCAGTCCCAGTCACAGGTCTGCCCTCGTCCTTGTGACGATTTCGCCGGCGTTCGCTCAATCCTTCTGCGCATCCTTAGCTCAATGCGAGAAAATCCACATTGTTTGGGGGCGAGGTGTTGCCACAGGGTTTGTTTCTTCTCTCCGGTTGCTTACAATCACTGCATATCTTCTCAGTCCAGATCCTATTGGTCCTTATTACCTCCAAGTCTACACATCGTCAGTGAATGAGCAGTCGCCTTGTATCACCTTCCTCACTTCACAATTCCAGGCTTTACCTCGCTCCGATCATCATTCCCGTCGGTGACGTTCTAACCTACGTAGGTTTCTATCGGGCAATGATGAATTTTCCTGAACGATGACTTGTGTTAGGACTGGGCTGTTCCTTTTCCCCCCGGGACTTTGGTAAGCGCTTTCAATCTGCACTTTGAAGCTCGATATAGGACTGACCTCTGGGGTGACATAGTATGAAATATGCATGGTGGGTAAACTCCAATATCGACTGTCGTCTACCGATTTATAAACCTTGAATAGTTTGATAAAAACGGGCACACGGGCGGGTGTCAAGCAGCATATACAGTTACTTCCCCCACTACTGAACCTACCTGTGCAAACGTTACCTTGCCACCCTTTCTTTCTGTCGATGCCCAAGTCAATAACGGCCCAATGTCGAGGTATGGATGGATTGAACAAGTTGGTTTTAGTCCATCATATCCGTAATCCCTAATTGCTGATTCCCCTGTCCAAGTGTTCTGATATTTCTGTTACCCCCAAGAACGGAACTCCCCCGTACACTCTTACGGTATGCTCTCGACTTCCTTGACGTCGTTCGCATCAACCCATAACTCATGATATTGGGCAGGTTGCTCCTTCCCTCCAGCCTCCATACAACATCACGAGCTCGGATATGAAGAGCATCAATTGGACAGTTACACTGTCATGGGCGATGCCGTTTTTTATAAGTGTCGTCGATTCCGCCGGTAATATGTGGGCCAATGGACTTCTACATAGCGGCTCTGGGTCTCACACCGCCTGTCTTTCTGGTGGTACAGCTCAAGCGATGAGGTAAGTGGGCCGATCTTTTTCACTATATTTTTTCTCAGAATCAATAAATAGCCCCCACATGGTCAAACCGGTTATCGCCATTGGTGCGGGTGCTGGTGGACTAGGTCTTGGGCTTCTTATACTGGTCATCGTGTTATTCTGCCAGCGGCGCCGCCGTCTTTTCAACAAAAGATATGTGGATCGAGCCCTGCACGACCCTCCCACCAGCCCAGGAACCTTGTCAACACAGCAAACGTCTAGACCTTCGACGGCTTTGAGTGGTCTTCAGAACAATTTGCTGGGAACTGCCAACCGATTACCGACTTACAACATCGAGCCCTTCATAATGCCTGGGGAAGAAGAGCCTCTCAGCCGTCAATCGGCTTCACCCCTTCCCGGCGCGACTGGTCGTACGCTATCCTCTGACAACTCTTCCTTTGGTGCGCAAAACCAAATCTACGTCGTTCACCATGATAGCCAAGCTCCGCCTGTAACTATCTACCACGAGGATGGTACGCGCATCGTCGAATTGCCGCCGAGGTATCCTGCCAGCGGTTCTGGTCGGAGCGAAGGGGCGAATGAGACGCGGGCAGGGCGACGCAGTACGAGTGATAGCAAAAGCGATGGGGAACGGGCCGACGCAACCGCAACTCAGAGAATTCTTAGGGAACACCGACGGCCAAACGTCTCCAAAAAGTCTCTTGGGGAGGGGGGTTGATTGAATAACCCAACGAGTTGAAGAGCTCCGATTTAAGTTCTTATCGACTTATTCTTTACTTCAGGACAGCGCGTTTGTTAGGTAATGCGGCGCTACAACCGTCACTTTGGAAATGCAGGAACAGTGATTGCGTACTCTATGAAGCCAGGATCTTCGGCGTCTAAGGGTGTCTCATAATGCACACTGACTTTGGCATATTCCCAAGGCACGGCGACGCCTGGGTCCGCACAGAAGCGCTCAGGGCATAAATTATATACGAGTTTTTTTGTCAGGAATTCTTCCCTGTTCCAGTTCCGGATGGGTTTATACCTCCGAGTCTGAGTCCGAGTCTAGCAACAGGTCCATCTGAGTCTAGGTATTTCCTATTTCAAGTTTCGGATTTCAAAGGGTTATCAGACGACTGCACTCCGTCCAATGGATTTTGATCTACGCAGTGGGTTGATACTTCGTACCTTACTTAGTCGAAGTTCATAGGAATAATTAAGGTGAGTGATATCGGTGAAATTGTGTGCTGTTGTTCGCTTTTCAATTTATAGACTGACAGGTAGAAGGATCCATGAGGGATTATGCGGTTGCGCACACCATCGTCTTCTTATGCAAATGGCATATCGTACCGGTCGTCCACTCGATGTTCTCGTCGTCGTATTTCGCGACGCGAGTGCTGGTAGCTTGTAGTTGTGCGAGTTCGGGTCAGAAGAGGTTGTAGTACTCACTGATAGCCGAAAGATAAAATTCCTTCTAAAGAAACATGCGCTGAGGGTGGGAAGGACATAAGTACTTGGTTAAGGGCCTTACTTTCTTGGCGATTGGTAAGTTGTAAACTTGGTGTTGAATCTGAGGGCCCTCGGTGCGCGTTTTTTTTTTTAATCCGACGAATTTCGGTGGGGCAGTCCAATTTATGTAAGTACGCCGTGCAAGTATATATTACTTGATATTACTGTAACGGCCGTCATATATATATGTGGTACATATATACTTTTACACTACTTACTCTGGCTCTATGAAGGAGTAGATAGACCATGCGACATTACTGCGTATTGTGGATTCATGAAAGAGGTAATCTCAAGGGATATGATCGCAACCACCTTTAGAATGTCCAAGACGACTCTCTCAGAAGTTCAATAAACGAGCCTGTATAGACATAACTTCAGCTGAGCCAGCCATCTCTGGGTTACCCTGGACAAATCTGTCAAGGGCGCCAGCAGCTGCGTTGAACCATTCAGCACGACGAACTAAATACTTCCCCACCCAATAAGCATAAAAACCTTTACTCCCAATTGCCAATTGAAATGCTTGCTGCTCCTCATCTGCTACTATGGGGAGTAATTGAGCAATGGTATCATCAGGGACGCCAGAGGAGTGGAGAGAAGATGCAAAATGCTCGATGAAGGAAAGACGATCTTTGAGGAACAAATCATCGGGTGAAGGGTCGTCACGGAGAGCTATCATTGCGGGACACCTCACGGCAAATTGTAGGGGTAATCGACAAACCCAATCATCCCAGTCCAAAATCCTATAAAATGTAAACAATTAGTTATATCGAGATAACAGTGATATGCATAATACTTTAATCCTTACCCCGTGATGTTAAAATCGCCGTCAACAAGAATATTCCCCGGATTGAGGTCGGTATGCATAAGTGGAAACGGCAAGGTGTCCAAGGACGAAATGTGGTACTTTTCTTCGGCCATGGCACGATAGATCAGACAGTCAACAGGGTCTAATAATGGGAGGCCACCATTGAAGATACGTCTGAGGCGCGAATCGATCCTCCTGAGCGTCCAAGCAAGCGCTGACATGGTGCCAGTGCTGGATTGTATCTGCTGTGTGGTATGCACCAACATGTCGACAGAGTACTGGGCTAGCTGAGCCAGGACCTTTTCTCGAGCCTCTGGGGGAGGAAAGGTCGCGTTCCATGTCAACGTTGACCCCTCGATCCAGTCCAATAGGATATAAGGCGTTCCAACGCCATCTCCATCCTCGCTGTCGGACCAAGCATACACAGTCGCGATGGGTATAGTGGGTACGGTATTCTTAACATAGTCCATTGTTGTCACCGTGGGCTCGACGGGCGTCATGATCATGTCGTGTGGGACACGAAGTGCCCAGCTCGTGCCATCCTCGAATGTGATGGGATAGACTGTGTTGCAACCACCTGAGAACTCGTTTTTATTAGCGGTACAAGGCTGCCCCTTGATCGAGGAAGCAGTCTTGTAAACCTGGTCCCAGTTGACTTTTGCGCGCGTAGCTCGTGATTGGTCAATAAACGCCTGTGAGATAGAACTTGGACGACGACAATAAGATCAGATGCGAATTTGTGGTCGCACCATCAGGGTAGATCGAAATATTACTAATAGTCTCGGTGGATTTCAATGCAACGGCCTTTTGATAAGAACCTGCCTCAATGGTCGGAGGGAAGTGGAAGGAAAAAGATGGGGGATAGAATTGGGATAGAAATGAAATGAAAATGATGGTACTTACAGTCATCCACCTGCTAATGATACGCCGAAACTGAGAAATTGCATCCAACAATTTGAAGTACAACATTCAGCCATAAAAACTACATGAATATTTGAGATAAATTACACTCTATAACCCTACCAAATTTCAGAATGTTTGAACCACAGGTCAGGAAGAAAAGTCAAAATTATGAGTGTATCATTGGGTAGTGTGACTGTATTGCAGCAATTTCCAAAAACAGTCCATTTTGAAAACTTCACAGCAGCACCAATACTGCTTCAATTTTTCCCAAATTTTGTAATACGGTAGATGTGAACCTGTAGTGCACGTTACAATTTATTTCACAAAGATTGATGTAGTATTGAGTGAGATATTAGTTGGTCAAAAGTGTATCAAATGATGGTAGCGTATCATTGGTGGGTGGATGACTGTATGATCGGATCCGGAATTTGAACTCAGAAACCAATCCCAGATCCGCAACGACTCGTCAACCTCGTCCTATAACCAGCCTGTGCCGCGATGAGTCCAAGTTGAAATTCAAGCCCTGTATGCAATATGTACCTGACTCGAGTCTCGAGCGCACCGTGCCCCCCCAATGCTCCCAAATTCAAACGATGTAGGTTCGGAAGCTCATTTTTTCCATATATGCAGCGGGAAGAGATGCAAAAGAACGTAGTTTGGCTCTTCTAGTAGCCAACTTGGGGATTGAACCCAAGACCTTCGAGTTATTAGCTCGACGCTCTAACCAACTGAGTCGGCCAATATCGTATTTTCAATGTTTGCTACACAAGTTATTTACTTACTATTTACCCAAAGTTCGGTTCCTGGTCAACATCTCCACCCATGCATGCATCTTGCATTCACACCAAATAAAAATTTCAGAGGAGTCCCAGACCACCTCCTCAAATCGGGAGTGAGAAAAACCCCCGCTTGTATAGAATTCTAGATACTTGGGTATATGCGCGGTACGTAGGTGGTTCGTACGTCATGTAGCTGAGTGAGATTGGAGGCTAAGGGATGTGCGTGGGTCGTCGTGAGTGGAGGTGGGAGGGAGGGAGGAGGAGTAGAGGTGCGGAATAAATAGAATGCCAGGAAAGGAAGGGAAGGGCGGAAGGGAGGGTATGAGCGTATGAATACGAGGACAATACATAGAGAAGAATGGATGAGTGAAAGGTATGTATAGGGCAAAGCATGTCGATAGCGATGTGCGAGAACGAGATGGGGTCAAGGATGGGAGGGAATACATACATTGATTTTTTGATAGATAGGTAAACGCATACTCGCCCATCAATTCTCCTTCATCTCCTCGTCAATCCTCTCACTCTGTACGACGGAGAGGCCCCTGGCGCGTGTCTTAGCCTTGATACCGAGGGGCACTCCTTGAACTTGAACTTGAGCTTGTGGAACAGGGGCGAACGCCATACGCTGTCCCGCTTGAGGTATGGGTAACGCGGGGAGGGGCGCAGTAGGGGGTGGTACGGCTGGAGCTGTGAGTTTACGTACGCCTCGCCTTGGTCTGCATCAGGTGTTATTAGCCATTCACTACATGTAGAAAAAAAGACAAAGGACCTCAAAAGACCACCAACACTCCCACTCCTCATCCGCCCTACAAGACTCGTACTCTCACAAGCCACGTTCCGCACATCATTCCCACCAAGTCCAAGTCCAAGGGCAAGTTCTCCCGCTTGGACGAGGCTCCCGCTGCGACTCCGCGATCCTCCAAACCCACCGGGAGGAGGAGGAGGGAGGTGTCGTTGTAACTGCAGCGCAGCACCCGCTGTACGTGCCGGAGAGCGAATAGCATTCATGGGTGAGGCTGCTAGCGTGATGCTTGAGCGGCGTTTGCGTAGGCGGGGTTGGGACTGTTGTCTGGGGAGGACGTGATTCTGACTCTGACTCGTGCTAGTGAGTGTGCCCCGGTGCGTTTGTGTCGGCGTAGCATCCCTATCAACATCCATGTCGAGTCCAAATTCAACGTCGCTGTCGTCTGGTATAGGCATAGGCGACGACGGGCGGGCTGGAGATGGGGTTGTTATTGGTGAGAGGTAGCTGTCTGCTCGTTGTTTTGTAGGTGTATGTGGGGATGCAGAGGAGAAGTAGGCATGATGAGGAGCGAGGAGGCCTGAGGAGAAGAATGCTGAGTAGGTTGTCATGTTGAGGTGAAGGACAACGGGTGGTTTTGAATGAAGTTGGTTCGAATTTCCCTTTTTCGGCAATGGCCACAAATTGAAATTCGCAGCCCATTTGGTGGTTAGCACTGTTCTTTATCCCTGACTTTTCACTCGAGTATGGTGTAACGGTTAACATTGCCGCCTTTCAAAACATGGTTCGCATATACGCGGCAGCTCGGGGTTCGATTCCCCGTACTCGAATTACTCAAACGATTTGGTATTTTTTAAAAAGTTTTCCCACCCCTCCTACCCAACTTTTGCTTTCATGGACTGATCTAATCGTGCAAGGGTGGAAGAAGGTCCGTAATCTTGAATAGAAATGAAAGATAATAGGCAAAAACAGGGTTGCCTCGATGTGAGGGCAACCTGCGAGAAATGTATTTCACGGCCTCGATGTCCTGATCCTCTACGTTACAAACGGATGAGATGAAGAAGAAAAGAGGGAGCAGGAGGGTGGGTGAATGCAAGATACCGCTACCTCAGAAGGATGGGGTAGGAGGAAGAGAGAGGAAAGTTCGACTCTGCTCAACCTGAAATGCTGGTCTCAGAGACCAGGAATATCTCGGGGAGAGGAGATGTGTTACGTCCCCTAGGCACCCGTGCGCCCGATTAGACTACAGTAAAAATAATTCTAAACTCGACTAATCGTGCAAGGGTGGAAGAAGGTCCGTAATCTTGAATAGAAATGAAAGATAATAGGCAAAAACAGGGTTGCCTCAATGTGAGGGCAACCCGCGAGAAATGTATTTCACGGCCTCAATGTCCTATTACCTATAAATGTGAGTGAGGGAAAGGGAAGGGGGGGAGATTATATAAGTGTCTTTTGAAAAAGGAAGAAAGAAGTTGAGTGGAGTGGAGTGGAGTGATGTTTGTAAGAGGCCAGGATAAAAATATGAGGCAGTACAAGTCAGAGAAAATAGTCCAATGTTAAATGAAAAAAGTCAAAAGATCAAATGTTCGTAGCTGGTTGGTGGGCAGGGTGCCCAAATAACATAGCTTGGAGAAGAACAGGATTCTTTCTGATGTAGATCTGAAAGGTATCCGATGCCCATCGTCCAATGGCTTGAATGATGTTGGGAGGTACACCAGCTTCAGCAAGAGAAGTGGCACCTCCAGCATGCATAGATTGGCCTGCAATATCGGCAGGGAAGAAACGACGGAGTCGTTTCATGAACCAGGAGCGGGTCGGCACACTGCCAGACTCACGCAACCAAAGTTCAGGTTTTAACGGATGAAGGGTGTCTCGTGATTGTAAATATGAGGTGAAAAATGAGTATGGGTCGGTTGGGAGGTTTGTCTTTTCAATGATAATCAAGTTTCCTTCATAGAAGCGGTCGGCCTTGTGGCCAGGCAGCCAAAATGAGTAGGATTTCTCAGTGATATCAACAGTGTGCCGGAGGATAACTTTCCGATAATTGCGCTGTGCAACTTTGTCTGGGAAGGTAATCTCTCCAAGACACATGAGGCCATGGAAACCTGTCTCTAGCATTGAGAGGAATAGCTTGTCATCATGACAAGTGGAAGACCCTATGGCAGAGATGACAGTTTGCAGATCAGTGGTTGACAGTGGGCGTTTTCGTTTTACAGGAGTTCCAAAGCGGCGTTGACATCCTGTCATAGTACGTGACACAAGCATAGAGTTGTGGGTTTTCCTCACATCTGGGAAGAAAGGTTCAAGCTGATTGCAGATCCCGGATAGATAAGAATTGACGGAAGAGGGTTTGATATGTGATGACATGTAGACAGCATAAAAGCTGAGAGTTTGTTCAGTGGGTGTGATATCGAACTTGTGGATTTTGCAGAACGTGAGATATGAGTTCAGGGCTGATGTGTATGTGATGTGAGAAGAGTTGTTGATGGACATCCCCAATGCAATTGACCGTTCATGAACTAGACGATCAAGAGTCCATGGTTCACGCTGGGGTTGGCGAGAACCACGTGAAATAGAAATCATTTATTAATTACCCCCAGCGTAGGTGATCGAGGGGGCTGCAGATAAAGGTAACAATGTGTAACATCGGAAGAGGTGGGTCGAGACATATCAGGGATGAAATTACTGGGAGGACGGGCACTCAGGTCCTTTGTGGCCACCCTTGGAGCACTTGTTGCAAACATGGAGTCGACGACACTGGCTGCCATCAAGCAAGCACAGCCCCTCATTCCATCGGCTGCATGCCTCCTGTTTCTTGCGTGAAGTCGAGGGTACCTTTGAGATAGGTAAGCGTTGCACAACAGCTGCACCAATGGAATCCATGTGTGCGGTTCTAAGATCGGCAAATTTGTCGAAATGAGTGAGCTCGAGATCACGTCGGCTGCCGACACGATGGCGAACAGCCTTGTCGAAAAGAATAACTCGGTCATGGAACAGGATATCAGTTGCTGCAAAAAGTGCGATGATGTACTCAGCATAATCGGCCAGTTCTCCCGCACGATGAGGGAAAGCCATTGACGTTGTGCGAGATGCTCTATTCCAAGCGATTGTCCACTCCCCCGCACTTGAAACAATTTTGGTTGGGGCAACGGTTCCAAATTTGATATCAAGATCACCGATTGACTCAATGCGCTCGTCGTTATTGGATGTCGAGTAATAACCTGTAAGTACCGTGTCGAGGTTGACAGCGCGACCCGCAAGAATGTTCGTCCATTCGGAGTCTGGGAATTCAGGGCATGTGGGTGAGTTGATGAGGGATTGCTTCGTGCCCTTAGGGTTGACTGAATACAGTTTGAGGAGGTCGAGTGAAGCTGTGAGGGAAGGGGATAAAGTGACCGAATGTATGAAATCTGAGACAACCCATGGGTATTGAGACTCATCAGGTTTTGCATGTTTCATTGGGCGAGACAGTTCCTCCTCATCAAATTGCTCTTCAACAGGTGATTTTGAACGTTGCCTATTGCCACGGCATTCGGCTTCGGAAAGGTGGTGTTCGTGGTTTTCAAGGATGACGATATAGCGCGCAAAGGCCTCTTCGACTCCTGTCGGGTCTGCTGGTAATGCGTCGGTGAGTGTGGTGTAGATTCGGCTAAGTGCTGTGGCTTTTGAGATGTTTGAGGCACGAAAGTCTTCGATTGGCTTGTTGCAAGCAGCAAGGGCAGCGATAGAAACTGGGGCATTCCCAAGCGTTCAAACTCGACTTTGCCCAGATTCCGGTGACAAGGATCGGCGATTACCAGAACCTTGTTCACCGGAAGTTGTTCCTGGATGCTGTTGATCACTCGCACCGTTGTTACCACCTTGAGTAGTGTCGTTGTTACCACCAGAAATAGGAGTTTCAAGAGGAGTAGGAGTTGCATCAACGACATTGCCAGTAGACATGAGATGAAATGATGAGGATTTGATCCGATGCAACTAAGAGTTGTAATATGAATGCAAGATACCACTACCTCAGAAGGATGGGGTAGGAGGAAGAGAGAGGAAAGTTCGACTCTGCTCAACCTGAAATGCTGGTCTCAGAGACCAGGAATATCTCAGGGAGAGGAGATGTGTTACGTCCCCTAGGCACCCGTGCGCCCGATTAGACTACAGTAAAAATAATTCTAAACTCGACTAACTTAATACTGAGAATTTACGCGGATTCGGTCACGTGCCCTTGGGATTCCACCTGCTGACGTGCCTTCTTTGTTTGCGTTCCCGCCAGCAGCCAAACAGCTGCGCGTCGGGGTGTCCGCTCGTCGTCGTCGACGCTGCCCGGCCTCTTCCCGCCCACTTACCTTGCCGGCAATGGGCGTGGCGTGCGGGCCTGGTCTGCTCCTTGGCCTGGGAGCTTGGAACGGAGGAGATGGTCGGCTGCTTTTTTCATCTACCCTCCTTTCATCTACTTGTAGTTAAATAACATCATCAGAATGTTCGTGAAAGGGCGCGTGCCTCTTTGCAGCAACGCACCCTCTTTCTTTTCGTCCACCTGGTTCCTCACGCTGTCATCCCAGCCTCCGCATGTCTCCTTGAGCCATTTGGTGAGTTCACTAACCTTGACTTGCCAGCTGGCGCCCTTTTGAGTGCTCAAACAACAGCTGAACTAACTGGATTCCAGACAGCTGCAGGGGATGTTAAAGGCGGTCCCTGTAACTTTACGAGATCAAACCTGGGCCCAAGCTACAGAGCTGTTCGTCAAAATTCCCTGGATGCCGTCGATTTGTGAAATTTCTGATCTTTATCTCGTTCTAACAACAATGATCAAGCTTTACACCAAAACTGATTATATTACAATACAGTAGCCCAAAAACATGATTTATGGTACAAGAATGGAATCAACATCATTGGCAGAAAACCTACTGTAAGCAAACTGTAAGTGTTTAGCGTTTAGTATATATATAATATACTGTACTAATACGACCACGTCTTCACGTCACGCATCACAAATGGTTGTGAAGGAAGGGAAGTAGGCGTGATGTCACGCATCACACCAAGTTTTGAAGAGTTTTTTTCTGTGAATTAAAAATAGTCATTTTTTTCCGGACCTGCGGTGCCTTTCTTAAGCATCACATTTGGTGTATTTAGAACCATGCCATACTTGAGGAATGCATGCTTACCTTCCAGCCAAAAAATTGACAGGTTGCTGGGCCAAACCATCTGAGAAATATGTGGTGGACAAAGAACAAAAACTCTTCGTCACACATCACACAGGACAATGAAGTGACGAAGAGATGGTCAAAGGGTGTCACACCCCAAGGGGCCTGAACAGTTGGTCGTATTAGTACAGTAATACCAGAGGGAACACATGCACGTGCACACCAAATAGAACCAACGTGTCGCGTCGCGTCTGTTTTTATAATGTGAAGTGGACCATCTATTAGCCATTATAGTCCCTGTGGCCCTAAGTAGTATATATACACCTTTCAAGGCTTTCTCGTCTGAAGGGGGACAGTCCTAACCATCTGTGTTGTAAATACAGATGCACACAGGAATTAACCAACAGGAAACAGGTATTAAATAAGGTGGGTAAGTAGTGGTAAGAAGCCGTAAGAACTTACACTCCCAGAATTTACAGTAAATCGGGTTCAATTTACGGGGATTTACAGTGAGCTGGTGCGGTCCAGGAGCCGAATGGTTGAAATTACAGCGAGCTGGACCCTGGTGATTGATTTACAGATTTATCCTTTGGCCAAGCATTCCGTCCCTGTAAAATCTCAAGTCCCTTACCAGCCCTTACCATGCCTGTTCAGAAGCTTGGCACTCCCTTCTTCCAGAGACTCATAAAAGACAATGTTAGATTATTCAATTTATTGAGCTACATATGCTGCTTCTACTCCATGTATAGATGCACCCCAACAGCAAAAAAACACAAAGGCATCTCACCCTGTACAATCTGAAAGTAAGTAGAGTGCCAGAACACAGGGTGCCTTAGTTTATGATCGCCGTCAGTGGTGCACACAGGCACACCATCATCTCCGAATGTGAACAAGTCGCGAGCCGATGATGTTAACGTGGTGGTGGGGCTGATATTGAAATGATTTGAGGCGTAGTGACGGGGGCACGTAGTACTATGTCAATTTCGCAACTATAAGCAAGGACCGTCATCTGAAGAAATAAAAATGACACTTACTGTAATGTCAACAAGGCGACAAAGGGACAGCTAGACCAAATCCTCAGAGTCAATGTAGGTCGCAAGACAGCGCTCGGTGAAGTGTGCGGCGCAGCTGCAAAAGAGGGGGGAGAGCAGACGACTATGGGGCTGCATCGCTGACGCAGGAGCAAAGCACGTAGAGGAAGGTGGGGCGTGAGGATGTGTAAATTCCAATATGCGCCACAGTCTGTGTCATAAGTCAATGAAGTGTGTCGCCAGAGAGGAATCGAACTTGTTTTCAAGGGTTTTCTTGACACTCAGACATCTGTGCGTTGTCCGAAACCTGGCTATATTCGTCTTGGAGGCGGAGGGTGTTAATGAATGCGTGTATGTTTGAGGTGGGGTGGAGGACGACGGTGTGGAGGGAAAAGGGTATCGTTACCTGCCTCACGGGGTATGAGACAGAGGCGAGGGAAGTAGCATGAAATTCTTGTGCAGCTAATGGAAGCTGGCTAGCCTGACACTGTTGACGAGGGTGGCCATAGCCTTGTTGTAGAACCAGGGATAAGTCTGTTTTGAAATCAGTAAAGAGAAAGGGTCAACGCGAGTTCGAGAATGTAGCCAGATGAATCACGTACCACTGTTCATGTAAAAGGATTGGGTCTCCTTTTCAGACTCTTTCTCCCCATCTACGCTCCATTAACGGTGGCGGCTTTGACCTTCTCCATTGTCATACTACGTCTTAACTGGGCGGAACCTGGAAGGCGATTTCGAGGCGGTGGAGGTCGATGTAGCTGTGTTTTTGAAGTGAAAATGAGTAAGGAGTGGACTGGTGGGCGAGTGGGAGATGTGCAGGCGGCGACGAGTGGTATGGGTAGTACAGGCGGCCCTACGGGATATGGGATTGATGGGCCGTCACGCGTCAGGCTCAGTAAAAAGCGAAGTCAAGAAAAATCATACGAAGTCAGAGGTCAGTCAGACATGTGTCACACGTCCGTAATTTTCACGCCAGCCTTCCCTTGGCATCAAATGGGAGGTGAGTTTAGTCATAGGTTAGTATCAACATTGTCGTACATTCTATATACATGTCTGTGCCAAGAATTCTCGAAATGCTTCATCTTTTTTTTCCGGTATGCATGTGCTACTGTAGGTAGCATACTTGCAGTGTGCCGACGCGTGTGAAGAACTTCAAGTCATGAGCTGCAAGTCCGTTGAAACTCCGACATCATGTTGAATTTTGAATTTCCCAACACGGAAATTCATTGTTCTTCCTTCCCAGCACATTCAACGAATGGCCTCCTCCCTCAATGAACAGCCTCCTCTTTCCCTCGACGAATCGTCTCCTCATCGAACGGCCTCCCCCCTCTCTCGACCAATGGCCTCCTGCCTCTCTTGATGGATGGCCTCCCCTTGGCGAATGGCCTCCTCTTTCGACGGATGGCCTCTCGGCGAATGGCCTCTCCCTCTCTCGACGGATGGCTTCTCGGCGAATGGCCTTCTCCCTCTCTCGACGGACGACCTCTCTGTGAATGGTCTCCTCCCTCTCTCGACAGACGGTTTCCCCTCTCGGCGAGTGGCCTCCTCCCTCTCTTGATGGACAGCCTGCTCCCTCTCTCGACGGACGACCTCCTCCCTCCCTTGGCGAACAGCTTCCTCCCTCCCTCAATGAATGGTTCTCATACTTCCCTTGATGAACGGCCTCCCCCCTCCCTCAACTCGAAGAACAGTCTTCCCCTTCTCTCAGTGAATGGCCCTCCTCGTGTGTCTTAGTCCCCTCATACTATACTCCTTAGGCTATAGGCCCACTACATGTATTCTTTAAAATAGTCAAATACAATTTTATTCAGTCTATTTCCTGACCCAAATTGAGCTCAAGCAATCAATGACTATTATATGACTAGTACATGACTGTGGCGTAATATATGATTTGCAGTGTACAACTAATGTACTTATGACTATTGTTTGACTATTGTAGTACGAGCGTAGTCAGAAACGCTTAAAAAAAACGACATTTAGTCATACAAACTCAAATTCGTGACTTTCTTCTGACCAACTTCCGACTTCGCTCTTTACTGAGCGTCAGGCCTCAGGGACGTCAAGCGAAGAATCCGGCGGAAGGCGATTTTACAGAATTTACGGTACCCTTGTAAATTGGTACGGATAAAGTTACTTAGCGAGTACTTACACCCATAAACCCAAATTGAAATTACATTTTCTGGTACAAGCACTTTCTACATATTTCTGAATTCATAAATGACTCGTGACTCCAGGGGCTCAGCGCTCAGATCTCAGCTTTCTTTGAGTAAGCCCTTTGAGAATTGGCAAGTGCGCGCGATCTGGAAGAAGGAGCTTGGAGAAAGTGTGGAGAGGGGGAAGCACCAAAATGAAGGACTGCGCGGAGTCTTGCTTGAATCATCCAGTAAAGAGGTCAAGAACTCTGCAGAAAGTTGTTGAATCGTCTGTTGTCAAGTAATCCTTTTGACTTGGTGCATACTGCGTCGCTACTTTGGAACAGTCTGATTTCAACTCTGGGGAAGGAACCAAATCGAGACTATATAGGAAGGTTAGGGTGGAATGTGACCCATGAGGGAAAAACTCGGGGAATATGTAGAGCTGGATCCAAGCTGGATCCAGTGTCCAAACTCCCATATGTGCGTGCGAAATAGGCTTTTTGAGTTTGTGTTTTGGTGTGTTATACATGGGTGTCTCCAACACCATCCAGCGGTCCTTGAGCGGTCCGAACCGCTCCTTCAGCTACGCAAAAGATCAGCACGGAAAAGAGGTTGTCCTCGACAATGAGACGATGTGGTACTTTGCTGACAACCCTTGCACAACCCCAACATCCTCGGCCATCATACTAACACAGGCGCGCGCAAGGCTTACGATCCAGACATAACCTCCAAAGTTGGTATCAAGCTCAAATGCGGTGAAATGCGGCGCAGGGGCATCTACCAGAATCCCCCTTTTGTGCCGCTGATCTTTGAACGTTGCTATCTTTCACAATACCAGGCTGGGTTTGACAATGTGAGTACGAAAAGTCACTAAAATTCCAACAGCCAGTTACTCATATTCCCTCTAATCAGACACGACAACATCTCCCGCTCAACATTGCTGGCGGCATCCAGGGAATGATGGTCAACTGTTGGTCGACTTTCGAAGGCCCGTCGCCACAGGAACCGCAAACAACTATAAATCACTCAACCAGCGTAGACGCTCGTCGGATGTAACTCGACGTTTACTTAAACAGTTGTCCACTGATAGGGCTATCCAACTTTTTTGTTCCCCCCCCCCTCTTTAGACCGTCATCCACTTTCGTTTCCGTCTGTCCATCCTCCTTTCCTTCGTTCTCCCCCTTCTGTTCTTCAAGTCGGCTTTTTTCTCGGCCTCCCACTTTCCTTAATCGCAGCCAGCCCCCCACACCCGAGTCACCCCAAGTCCATTGCCAACATCATGGCCAACTCCAACTCAACAACAACCATCCCATTCATCCCAAAGCTTTTCACGCCACTCAGCGTCCTCTCAATCCTCATGAGCGCAACCATCATCGGCCTCGCAGTGGTCAACTTCGGCTTCCTCTCAATCTGGCTCAACATGTCCATCGCCATCCTTACGATCATCTTCCACGTCACCAGCCTCTTCCTTGTGTGGCGCGAGCGGCAACGTGCCCTCGCGGAATCCAGACTAACCTTCACGCCATCGCTGACGTCAGTCAGTAGTAGTATCGGGGAGAAAACTCCCCCATCCATCATCATGGAATACCAGAAAAACCCACCACAAGAACTCCCCGTCGCGAGTTGCGCAACAAGCTTCGGGCTCCTTATCTTTCTCCTCGTTGTCTACGCCGTCGCCTTCTTCGTTACGATCAGCATTACTGTTAATGGGGGGGTCAAAAGCACGCTACCGTCAGAGCGCGCAAAGGGGATGACTCGTCCGTGGAACATCCACGTCCAGATTGCACAATCTGCGATGTTGGGTGCGGAGTCACTTCTTATGGCGGTTATTGTTGGCCTGTGCGCGATGGCGCGCTGGAAGTTTGGCCTGCAGGAAAGGGAGAAAAGGGATGAGGTGGATTATTATGGAACGGCAGCTCCTGCGTGCGTCTTTTTCCTTGTATCTCGTCTTTTTGAGAGCTCACTGGCGTGCAGTAAGTTGATGTATCCTGCGGTGGTCTAGCTTTCATGGGACGCGATGGGTGAGCAGTTTCATGAACGAACTGTTCTACCTCCTGCTGCCGACCTTGTTCCTTACTATGCTGCCCGACCCCATTTCCATGGCCCTCAGTTTTATCAATCGCTTCCGACGTCACCCGCCCATAGGGCTTGCTTATATTTATGCCCATACCTGCTTGATGCACCCCTTCCGCGCTGGAGCTATACATACGTACGCGGAACCTCTCGATTTCCCATCCCACTTCTTAGCGACACCTCTGGACAGTGTGTTACGCCAGAATCACTCTTACTTTTTCCTGAGGATAGACAGACACCTATTGTATAGCAGAATATCACCGCACTCGCTTTTGATAGGATCCTTAAGCGGCCAGACAAGCCGTCGTTCTCACAAGACAGGGAACTTCAACTACAATGAATGCACCAAAGATTCGTGGGACTCATGATGAGTTCACTTGATGGTATTAATCTAATTTTCCCGATATTCATGCTGTGAACTTTCGAAGGTACCGACGTGAAGGGGTGCGGACTTAATTATTTCCGAAATTGGGCTCACATTCTGAGAGCTCAAAGTAGTGTTTCGTCTCTCCTGCAAATTCTGATTGAGGAGGCATAAAGTTGCATAAAAGCCAGTTTGGAGGTGTTTGCAGGTCTTTTATATTTGCTTCCGAAAGAAGCCGACCCAATTGGAAGAATGGCCTTCTAACCCTACACACACCGATGCCAAACTGTATGTCTTCCGTCTCTCTTTTTGCCGAACAACTTTGATACATTATAGGCTATAGCATCTCGAACTATATCGACTTCCGTTGGACAAACACCGGTTAAACATTGTGGTTGCATCGTGGCGCCTTGTAGGCTTGCCTTTCGTGCGATTGCTTAAAAGTATCACTGTTCAACGTTCAGTGAGCATGGCTTTACTTGTCTTTTGTATTTCATGATTGCTCAGATCTCTCGGCGAGACCAGGAAACTGAAATGCACAGGATGTTGCCTGGTCCAAGCCACCCAGGTCTCGGTTGCAGGGCTCCATCGCTTCCATTCTTGTGTTTCCGCGACATGCATCCCACTACAACTCCTGAACGCCGGCGTAGGGCTTTTCCCATTTTACACCGTGATCCAGTCAGGTTGGCCAGTAACGCTTCCCAGACTTCGGGGAACAACCACACTAATGCCAACAACCTCTTCCCGTTTCCAATCAATCCACGTCCCAGCCCCCATCAAATCTTTCACCTTTCTCGGGGGGCATCGCAGTTAGATATTAAAGCTCGATGTAAGCCCATCCCCCGTTCTTGATCGTCCCACCAACCACAACGCAATCCAGATTATGACCTTGTGAGATGCCACCATCCGGACTCACAACACGCTCGATCGCTGCCACCCGCAGAAGCGCACGCCCGCTTCCAGGCGATCAATTCCGCTTACGACTTTCTCCGTGGACGGGCGTCATCGCATCTTCCCGGGGGGACCACCTGGGGCCCCAACGCCCGCGCAGAGCCCAACTTTGACCCTTATCTTCATGAACTTGCACGGAGGAGACGTGCCTATTACGCTTCGCAGGGCGGGGCTTCAGGCCCAGGGTTGGGGTGGAGTGAGGGATTTGGCGCTTCAAAAGAGGAAAGAAATTCGCAGTGGAGTGATGATGGGTGGCAGGAGCGAATGCTTGTCTGGTTCGGCCTTGTGGTGCGCATTTCGAGTTCTTCGCAGGAATGTCATTTGCGACCTTCTTCCCGTTTGCTAGGCACTGATCGGAGGATTATATCCTGGTCTATTCCTGTTTCCGTTCCACATGGAACAGACACATCGAGCGGCGGTGGCTAATCTTACTCAAGCTAGGAATGATGCACGAGAGTTCGGTGAAGAAAGGCGGGATGAGATGCGGAAGCGTGTCAGAGATATGAAGTCGTCGTACGATGATGGAGTTTCAGTTTCTACAGAGAAAGATGGGCAAAATGTGTAGCCATAGGGTGATACGCCATTTCGTTGTTTACGTTCCTGCCAACATCGTCGCGCTTAATTTATGCTTTACTCCCCAGGTTTCCACGCCGCAGAACAATCTGGCTTTGACCGCGTCTAGTGGTACTCATCTAAATTGTGGCCGGAGCGAGCAGACTCCACTCCGTGTAGACTCATTCGCGAGTGCTTTACGTGAAGGGGGTTGTATGGATCATACCCACAGCGACTTTCAGCTAATTGTTAACTACTGTCGGTCAGATTGATGAAACTTCGCTTCATCCGATCGATTGCGAACCCTCCCAGAGTTTGGAGTGTCTGTTCGGATTGAGGGTAGCCCATTTACTGAGGATCACAGCGTTTCTTTAGCCATCGCCTCGATTTTCGTGCTTTTGTACGCGCTTCCGAACTGATAGTAAGTAAGCCTTGCTTCTTTCAGTTGGTCCACGCCTACTTTTCTTCACCAGGCCTCTCCGCCCGATCATTGCCCAAAGATCGTCAACCAAATGCGACCCCGTAATTCTGCCATCTCTGCTCCTCTGTTGTCTCACCCGACCCGTTTCGCAGTTTCCTATCTCCGCCTTAATAATAATCTGTTGTTCCAGATATTACACCTGTTCCCAGGACCCACTCAGCTCGGAGTTCACAATGTCGCAATTCTCACCCACGATTGCGGGATTGACATCTGGTGTCATACAGGATGCTACTCACCGCCCGATAACAAATTTGAGTCGCCTTTCAATCTTGAAAATCACTTTTGCAAAGGAGGAGATTTTACGACGCTTAGCCTAGTGTTCGATTTGCCTACGTCTGTATCTTTTCTTGAATTCATTGATGCGTACATTCACCTTTTCTTTCTTTATGTTTGAGGTCTCTCTGAAGGCCCTTGTAATATTGTAATATGACCACTTGTGGCCTTCGATTGGCTTATCGCTCCAAGTTCTTGTTCAACATTTCGCCATTTTCCCATGCCACGAGTGGTTGGGAGTTCATCAAGTCACAAATCGACACCTTGTTTGGCATAAAGCACCGTGACGGAACATCTGCGACCCTGTCTCCTTCTTTCCTAAAACAAACTACGACACACGCGGTGGTCGTGTTGCGTATCAATAATGAACAGAAGAACACTGACATAATTCATGAGAAGTGCGTACTACCTAATCTTTCGAGTTGTCGTCTGATGACTCGGAGTTGAGTTCTGTTCATCAGTATTCTCAAATTGGCACAAGGTTGACGTACGGATGGTCGAAGGCTACGTGACGACAAATTGGCTATCTTCCTAGACTCAATGAGATAACCCCAACCCCCTGTGCGTCCACAGCCACGTATCGGAAACAAGGGAGGCTAGAATTGGATGTCGATACCTCGGTCCCGCAACTTAGGTGGCAGAAGCGGACTTGGTGGATTTTTATTCGGCGGCCACTTGCTTGACATGCGAACTCAGATTCGCGCGTACGGTGCGTAATCGCAGAACAGCTGATCGCCTGTTCTGACATGTATCTCCCACTCGCTAATTAGTCGACGTGAGAGGGAGATTGTGGTACTGACGCGTCTTTCTAGATTGCATCCTCTTCTTTCCATCGGAGATCGACCTCTCCTTGTAAAGTTAGCTCGTGTGCCAGTATTTTATGTCGCAAGGAACGGTGGCGGCTCGTCAAATCCTCGTAACGACCTTGTCATCCAACAATCTTATCTTTCTGCCAGACGTCTTTCTAGAAAATAATTCGCGTGGAGCATCCTCCAGAAAAATGTATAAAAGGTGGTTCACCTCATCGTCTAGAGTTCAGGTTCCAGTCCTACAACAACATTCTTTTAGCTGACTCGACTTCTTCGAAATGTTCCCCACAACCATCCTTACCACTCTCTTTCTCGCCTTGGCTGTCGCCGCCAATCCGATTCTCATTAATCGGTCCCCTATATCGTTGCCTCTTTCCAGACGGCTCAATCTCACCAGCATCGACAACCTCCTGAAACACGACCAGGCTCGTGCTAAGTCCCTCAAGACTGCCGGGACTGGCGGTGTTTTCCAGTCGGCTGCTGTAGTCAACGAGCCCATTACAAATCAAGCTGTTACCTATGTCGCCTCAATCGGCGTTGGTAGCCCCGCCACCTCTTGTAACGTGTTTCTACATCATCGCAGCAACCCTCTTGCTGAACATATGTTTCAGACTCGCTCATCGTCGACACTGGAAGGTTAGCTCTCAAATTTCATGTTACAATTCGACACTGACAATTTGCATCAAGTTCAAACACTTGGGTTGGAGCAGGAAAAGCGTATGTCAAGACCAGCACCAGCGTTAAAACCTCCAACTCTGTTGTAAGCATTCACTTTCTGCCATCAAAATGACCGCTCCTTATGTATAATCGAAGTCCGTGACATATGGTTCTGGATCGTTTTCAGGCACTGAATACCTGGACCAGGTTACCATTGCTTCTGGTTTGGTTATCCCCAACCAATCTATTGGTGTCGCCAGCACCGTCAGTATTTTTTCGGTTTGCATCTTCCCATAGAATTGAATATTTTTCTGTAGTCCAGCGGCTTTTCCGGCGTTGACGGAATCTTGGGGTGAGAAAGCATGGCAGATTCATTATTTATCTAATTTTCTTAAAAGCATTGGCCCGGTCGATCTCACAGTTGGTACGTGCCTCCCACTTTCATTGCATCTTGGCATTCATCAGTTTCCCAGGAACCCTTTCCCCGGCAACCACTTCCTCCATCCCCACTGTTACCGATAACTTGTTCGCTAACGGCGTCATCACTGCTGATGAAATCGGTGTTTCTTTTGAGCCCACCACTGTACAATCCATCGTCAACGGCGAGATTACCTGGGGTATGATACATTTCCAAAATTCCCTACATCAGCTGACAGATTTTTTTTTAACTAGGTGGAACCGACAGCTCCAAATTTACCGGCTCTATTAACTATACCCCCCTTACTACAACCTCTCCCGCTCGTTACTACTGGGGTATCAACCAATCTATCCGCTATGGTACTTCCACAACGATTTTGTCGTCCACCGCGGGTATCGTCGATACCGGTCGGTGAAAGTTTGTTATTTGTCTGGCGTTCACTCTGATTTCCCCTTTACGCAGGAACCACCCTCATTTTGATCGCCACCAATGCCCTCACCAAGTACAAATCAGCAACCGGCGCCGTTGTCGACAACGCCACGGGCCTTCTTCGCATTACTTCCACCCAATATTCAAACCTGAAGAGTTTGTTCTTTACCACAAACGGCGTACGTCTTTTCTGGTTCTGGTTAAATCGAAGATACTGATACATAGCTTTCCTCCAGGTCACTTACGAGCTCACTGCCAACGCTCAGCTCTGGCCCCGTTCTCTCAACACCTACATCGGTGGTACCACTAGTCGAATCTACCTTGTTGTGAACGATCTTGGTTCCCCCAGTGGTCAAGGCCTCGACTTCATTAACGGCTACGCATTCCTTGAAAGGTTCTACTCCGTTTTCGACACCGCCAATAATCGCGTCGGGTTTGCTACCACCCCTTACACGACTGCCACCACCAACTAAGACCTTGGAAGGAAGGCTGGTTCAGGTATTGGACAGTGTTATTCTCAAGTAGTACTTATTTCATACGTCTCTCATTTAAACACTGAAGACTCAGGGAGGAAGGTCGTATTTATGCCAGATGTATACCGCACGTTCCAATTTATTGTTCTGGGTATTTGGAAGGGCTACTGGAAGATGAACTGGGGTTAATGTGACCTCAAGGTCTGATATCGCCCACCAGTCTTGCAATACTTCAACACAACTAAGGCCTGGTTATTCAATAGCCGTGCAATTATCTAAGTCTGATGTATTACAGATCCAGGACTTCAATCGATAAGTGAGATGTCATAATCAAAGTCAAGTAAAACAGTATCTTCTATCTTCTTCCACTTTCTGTTTCGGGTTGGTTTCGGGAGTTAAAATTATCTCGATCAATGAGATTCGAAACAGGCACAGTGCTTTGATTGATCGAGTTTAAACAAAGTGTTTACTCAAGTCCAATGAAAGCCGACCAAGGCTAGTTGCACGCGCACAAAAACAGTCGTGTGTCCGCTGACACACGACTCCGAGCCGCTCATATTTTCTCCAACTCACGTGGTCCTTGCATGGTCCACACCTGATGAGTGTTAGGAGACTCTAACATATTTTTAGATCTACCCCTCATGGTTGAGGAGTGAGATTGAGATGCCCCTTTCCGCTAGGCTCTTGTCTTGACATCTCACTCCTCAACCAGGTAAGATCTTCATCTTTCTATCTAGGCTATCGTCATGATATCTTACTTCATTATCCAGTTTAGCATACACATTAGGCTCTCATCTTGACATCTCACTCCTCAACCAGTCTAGCATACACATTTTTTGTCACCAATAATACTATGTATTCATCGTTCCTCAATCTATCTCATGAGTGAAGGACATGCAAACCTCTTTGCAACTGCAGTCCCAGAAAATGGATTGTCCAGCACTATGGGATTGAATCCAATTGGAAGAAGTGACAAAGATCAAACCAACCCTACTGGACAGGATGGACCTGGAACTAGAGACTGAGCCAACTCTGTTGCGCAGGATGAGAACCTCTATGATGACAGAGGAGAAATCCAAATCCCACCTCGAAATAATGAGAGCAATGACGACCTCAAGGAAGAGTCGATCAGATATATGGACAACACAGTTGATAAATTCAGGCGAGGAGAAATTATGAAACTCAAAGCCTTATCAAACATTATTGGGGCACTCAATTTCGACCCATCCGGAACTAACAGAGTGAAAGATGCTGCCATTGAATTCTATGCTAAAACCCTCGATGAATACACAGCCCTCTCTTCTTCAGCAATTAAGTGAGGAAAGCATGCTGCAATTGGACTCAACCCCAAATCTGCTCAACCCAAGCAACACAAACCTGAGACTGTTGACGCTAACTGAGCAATTGATGAACTCATCTCTCAAATCAGCAGAGACAGCAACAGGTCAAAAAGGGGAACTCCCCATCAGGATCAGATGATGATGACAATGGAGATGAACCCTCAAATAAGAAACGAAGAATTTTTGAATCTGAGATGCCCTGGTATAATTGAGAGGAAGAAGCCAGGCGAAGAGGAAACAGAGATTGTGAAGAGTCTCAATGAACTCTCCACTCTTCGCCTGTGATTACAAAGTTGTCAGGCAGTGGATCCAAAATTCCAGGACCACGCTGCTTGGTTTCCCCATTTCAGAATGGGACAACATCATCAAGGGACAAGCTGTCAACCTTGACGCAGTGTTCTCCTCACTGCACCATATTTCCACTCCTAAGGAGAACATTGGATGTGAGATCAACTGAAATATCTCCTCATCGATCAGATCCAGCAAAGAAAGTCCAACAAGTGGCAAGTGGACCAGTGCCTGGAATGCCACTGTCAAAGCGATTAAATTTGCTTTCCCTCACAGGGAACAAGAACTTCAAGACTACGGTGAATACATTGAAGGCCATTTCTCCGCAAGGATTACTTCAGCCCACTGAAAAATCATCATATATGATGTCGCCATCCGAAATGAAGTCGGGGGTGGTCAGAATGCACTCCTCACTGACACCCACCACTTCACCAGGTTCTGCTCTGTTATCGTCATGCCAGATGGAGTCGAATCCAATCACATCAGGTTGGGAATCAAGCATTCAACAGGGAAGAACACAAAATCCGAAATTTGCCACCACTTCAACTCAATCAACAGCTGCAGGAATTCCACAGACAACTGCAGATTCCATCATGCCTGCAAAAAATGCAAGTGCCTGGGCCATGGGGAAAGGGATTGCAATATCAAAGAAGGATCTAGCGCATGATTTGCACCCCAAGTATCTGAGGTATAACATTTGGGAGGGCAGTAATATTTTTTCTCATTCATCTGCTGACTGGACAGAGACCGCCTCACCATTACCTCAAATCCCTTCTTCTGAACTCAACAATCCCATCGCCACCAAAACGATCCAGGAAAACCCCCACCTGTTTGACATCATTATGCCCATATTTGTGGATCAATTTGAGGAACTACTTGAAACTCATCCTAACAAACCTTTTGTTAAATCCGTATGCAGGGGACTCCTGGAGGGTTTCTCACCTTGGGCTGATACTTGCCATGGTGACTACCCTGACACACTTGACCTCTCACTCCCAGAACCAGAAAACCAGGAAGAGGCACAATTCTTTAGAAATCAACAAGACCATGAAATTTTCAAAGGGCGTTTCTCTGAATCTTTTGGAGACAAACTCTTACCAGGCATGTACTGTATGCCAATTTTTGCCGTTCCCAAACCACATTCAACGGACTTGAGAATGGTGACTGATCAGAGTGCTGGGAAGTTCTCGCTCAACAGCATGATTCCTTGTGAGCAGATCATGGGATATCCTCTCAACAACTTACAGCATCTAGGTCAATTTCTCATTTCCATGCATGACCGTTTCCCCCAGTCACCCTGCATACTTTTCAAATCAGACATCATGGAGGCCTACAGACTCCTCCCTGTTCATCCTTACTGGCAGATCAAACAAGTCAACTGCATCACTGGATCACTACATGTCAACAGAAATACTGCCTTTGGCGGACGAGGCTCTGGATGCAACTGGATCTCATTCATGTCACTTGTGTCATGGATAGCAAAGAAGAAAAGGGGCATTGAACTCTTGGGTACTTACTCAGATGATTCATTTGGCCCTGAACTCTCCAAAAACGTTGCATACTACCCTCCCTATCGCAAACTCATTCCAACCAACCAAGTCAAGCTGCTCCAATTATGGGATGAAATCAACCTACCCCACAAGGAGAGTAAGCAAACCTTTGGCTCCCCACTCACTGTCATTGGAATAGAAGTCAACCCTAACACCTTATCAATGACGATGCCTGCCGAAAGCCTCCAACAATTGATTACCGCAATCTGCAACTTCATCTCCACAAAGCACAAATTCACCTTGCGTGAATGGCAGAGACTGGCTGGCTGGATAAATTGGAGTTTCAATGTATTCCCCTTACTCAGACCCGCACTAAACTTTTATGTGAAAATAGGTGGTAAATCTGCCCCAAACCAATTCATCTGAATCAACAATGCTGTCCGCACTGACCTCACCTGGGCCACAGACCACCTGGAGCATGACAGCGGTGTCAAGCTCATCCATCAAATTTACTGGGATGTGAATGCTGCAGACTTAATGATTTTCTGTGATGCCTGCCTTGAAGGTATGGGTTTCTGGTTACCTGACGACCATGTTGGTTTCTACTCACCCACCCCTGACGGCACGACTGACGAGCACATATTCTTCTTCAAAGTGTTATGCATCCTATCTGCCATTCACCATGTCACTGATATCCTCCAAGTCCCCCCAGCAACCAAAGTCCTCATCTACACCAATAACGACAATACAGTCGCCATTTTCAATATGCTCAGATACCTCCCCCATTACAATGCAATCCTCATTGATGCCGCCAACACATGTATCAATTACAACTTACAACTCAGAGTCCGCCACATCACTGGGGAGCTGAACTGCATTGCCAATGCCATCTTGAGGAACTACTTTAAGGTCACATGTCAGTACGTCCCTGACCTTATCATTTCACCTTTCATACCCCCTCGATTGCTGCTGGGGGCTCCAAAAAAATGATCCCTACAACTGTGCATGCCAGGCAACCTCAGAGGGAAGCCTGGTCACAGGAGAAGCTTTTCAGAGAGCAAGCTATCGCCCTTGGACAAGCCATCGACAACTCCACATGGAAGAATTATGGTTCTGCCCTCAACTCCTACCTAAACTTTATCAAATTACATGACTCCCCCCTTGATCCAACCCCTGACACCCTTAGTCTATTTACAGTCTACATGTGTCACCATATCAAACCTGGATCCATCACAACATACCTCTCTGGCATTTGCCAGCAACTAGAACCTTATTTCCCCGACATACACAAAGTGCACAACTCTGCTCTTGTACACTGTACATTGCAGGGGTGCAGGCATCTGTGCGGTATGCCAACTTCTCATAAACATGCCCTCACTCTAGACGACCTTGAATTGGTTGTAAATGCACTAGGAGACTCCTCCGACTATGACAACATCCTTTTTCTTGCACAAATGCTTACCGGCTTCTTTGCCCTTTTCTGCTTGGGAGAAATGACCCAGATGACCTGCAACTCCATGACCCCCAAAAAGTCACAAAATGAACTTCTGTACATTTTTCCGACCTTTCCTATCAATTTTTTCTGCCTGGCCATAAGGCTGACAGATTCTGTGAAGGGAATACCATTATCATTTGAAAGAATGGGCACATCTTTGACCCCCACAAATGTTTCCTCACATACATCAATGCACGCAACAGCAACTTCCCCTTCAGCTCCCCCCTTTGGTTGACTAGCAAGGGTGTCATCCCTACCTGATCTTTCTTCATGAAATGCTTGCATAGTTTCTTTGACTCCGACACTGCTGGTCAATCACTCAGAGCAGGAGGGGCAACTTCCCTTGCCGAATATGGAGTACCACCAGCAATTATTCAGGCAATCAGT